GACATGGGTGCACTTACACACAAGCAAACACACTCATACACATAAAAATAATAAATTAAAGAAAAACGGAAAGAAAAAAAGATTGGAAGGCCTCAGCATATAGACAGCCAAAGCTCTAGCAAAAGACAAAATTACTCAGTGAGAGCAAAAACAGGGAGCAGGTGTGGTGGAGCACACCTTTAATCCTAGCACTTGGGAAGCAGAGGTAGGTAGATCTCTGTTGGGTTTGAGATCAGCCTGGTCTACATGGAGAGTTCTAGGCTGGCCAGGGATACATAGAGAGACCCTGTCTCAAAAAATAAATAAGTAAAATTAAATAATAAAGCAAAAGACAGTCAAGGCAGGGATCAAAGCAACCTCAATATTTTTTTAAAACCTTTTCTATTTGTTTTATTTTTTATGTGTATGAGTGTTATGCCTACATGTAAGTGGACCCGTGTCATGCACTGCCTGCTTAGAACAGAAGAGAGCACTGGATGCCCCCTGAAACAAGTTACGGATGGTTGTTAGCCACCATATGGGTTCTGGGATTCAAACCCAGACCTTCTGCAAAAACAGCCAGTGCTCTTAACTGCTGAGCTATCTCTCCAGCCCCAATCTCAGTATTTTAGAAACACCAACAATAAAGAAAAAGGAGTAAATTTCAAATGACTAAGGAGGAGCCAAAGAAGCAAGAAGAGACAACATAAAGACTATTTCAATATGACCTGGAGGCTAGAGAGATGGCTCAGCAATTAAGAGCACTGGTTGCTCTTGCAGAGGACCTGGATTCAGTTCTCAGCACACACATGGCAGCTAACAACTGTCCATAACTCCAGTTCTAGGGGATCCTACGCCATCTTCTGACCTCTGCAGGTACTGCACACATGGGTACACTGATAACACACAGGCCCAACACTTGTACACATAAAATAAAAATAAATTCTAAAATATTTTTTAAAAAGATGATGATGCCGGGTGTGGTGGCGCACACCTTTGATCCTAGCACTTGGGAGGCAGAAGCAGGCGGATCTCTGTGAGTTCCAGGCTAGCCTGGTCTACATAGTGAGTTCCAGGCCAGCTGGGGCTACAGGGAGACCCTGTCTCAAAAAGACCAAAAAAAAAAAAAAAAAAAAAGGATGATGATGAGTTGGCTAACTCTGCTGAATGAGTCAAGAGGGCCCAGCCCGACCCAGCACCCTCAGAAGAGCCACTGCCCCACAGTGCTCTCTAGGTATACAGGTATACAGGCCTACAGCTGTGTCACTTCACTCCAGGTACCGGGAGCCTACGCTTCAACTTGACTACAGTCCAGTGCACATGCCCCATACCAGAAGTGAGCAGCAAACACTGGGCAAGGGCCTTTTCCTCCCCAGACTTTCTAAAACCTCAAGTGCTCCAGTCTACCCCTGTAGTGGACACACACAAAATGTAGCATGCACACCTCCAGAAGTCATGGAAAGTCATGGAAAGAACTGAAGTTCAAGGCCAGCCCTGCACTTACATGCAGCAAGCCCCAGGCCCTCCTGTACCCAAGAATGTGCTCTATTATCCAAAAGGGCCTCTGCAGATTACACCTAGGACCTGAGGACTCCCTCTGGCCAGCTTTGCCTCCAGTATTGCCCTCTCATTCGCTTCTCTTCTCAGACTGAAGGCCTGCCCAGAAAGCCTCTGGACTAAGTTTTCAGCCATACCATGCTGTTCAGCTGGTGAACCTGGAGCTTCAAGCCACAGGCTAAACCCAAGCTCCTCAATGGCCACCCCCTCAGGTCTCACTCCTCACTCTCCACTAGACCATCTGCCTATCAGCCAAGGATAGAGCCCTTTCAAGAGACTCTCCTTAGCTGCATAAGCAGAGACACAACAAAAACCCTATAGGGAGCTCCAAGAAATAATAGGTAAGATGAAGGAGTGGTCAGCCAGAGAGGGAAGGATATGATTAGGGGCCAAACCCAAATCAAGTATCTTTTTTCTTTAAAAAGTTTAGAGGAAAAATTGAATCCAGGCATGGTGGCACACATCTTTTATCCCAGTACTCAGGAGGCAGATGCAGGCAGATTTCTGTGAGATTGAGGCCAGCTTGGTCTGCATAGCAAGTTCCAGGCCAGATGGAGCTGCAGAAAAACCCTGTCTCAAAAAAAAAAAAAAAAAAAAAAAAAAAAGAATGAAGGAAGGAAGGAAGAGAGAGTTGAATCCACACCCACTAAACTAAGATTCACCTTAGCAGGACCCTGAGGCTTTAGCATCAAGCCCAAAAAAGCCAGAGAGAGTATCAGCTCATCTGCCTTTGTTAAAAGATGGACACAAAATGATTTGGTCAGGACAGGAGCAGATCTCTTTGCTCCTGAGGGATTTCTACTGCCACTTCAGTTCCCATTTCTCAGTGCTGCACTTATCAGGCCTTTCCAACAGCACTGATGCTTTGAGGGTTGGGGGTAAGGACAGCAAGAAGGAGCCACAGCTTCCAGAAACTAGAGTGTGAAATGAAAACATTTGCTGAATTCTTTAGACTTAGTTAAATCTGGAAATGGATGTCAAAATACGAAGTCAGACACATACTAACAAGTTTGCGTGTCACTTTAACACACCCTTGTCAAGCTCAGCAGCAGCCTTTGCCAGGCACAAAGACGGGGTGGCTCTACCGAGAAGCACTGATGAGCCTTTATGGAGGCTCCAGAACACTGATAAGCAGTGCACAGTCACGCCGCACTACTTACCTTTCCTCTCTGGCTGTTTTTATTTTGTTACACATTGAATTAAGAGCCTTCCCAGCAGTTAAGCACAGTCCTGCTTCCAGAAGGCAGTCACAGGCCCTCCTCCCCTGACCCTGCCACCTGGCAGCTGCTACAACAGCACATCCTTCTCCAGAGGCCCCTGTCTTCCCCACCAAGCCCAAACCAGCAATCTTAGAATTTGTTGAACCTTGGGGTGTTTTGCTTTGTTTTGTTTGTTTGCTTCATTTATAAAAGGGAGACATCATCTTGTACCAGACAGTGGATAGGACCAAATGAGGCAAGCTGCATGCTCACTATACCCTTAGACATGCTTAGACTCCACAAGTCAATCCAGCTTCTCCATCACATCTCTTTTGGTGAAGATGCAGATCAGCATCCTGAGTCACCACCTGTCCTGAACCAGAGTAGAGGGCCCAAGGGCTAGACCAGTGCTGCAGGCCACAACAGGCTCCATCCAAGGAAGACATCACCCTCTGAAATTGCCTCTCTATCTCAGGCAACTCCAAACTAAGAAAGTACATGGTCTCCAGCCCCACCATGTCAAGTTTTCTGTATACATTATTCACAGTTAGCAGAATATCCAGAAACACGGGCACTGGGAAGATAAAAATGCCTGGGGAAAACAATGGAAGAGAGTCCTGGAAGAACTGGGCCCCTGGACCAGGCCACATGCACCCCAGAATCTGGGTATCAGTCTGTACCTGCCATGCCTGACCTGCTTCTCCTGGGCTGTGCAGAGCCCTACTAGGTAAGACCCTCTGGGCTTCAAGCTATACAGAATACAAACATAGGATCAGCCTTCCTGGGCTGGGGATGTAGCTCAGTTAGTAGTAGAGTGCTTGCCTAGTATGCACGAAGGCCAGGGTCTGGTCACCAGCACCACATAAACCAGGCATGGTGGTACACACTTGTAATCCCAGGATTTGGGAAGGGAAGGCATCTAAGTCATTCTAAGTCATCCTTGGCTACACAGTGAGTTAAAGGCCAGTTGAGTTAGTAATATATAAGACCCTGTCTTAAAACCAACAATAAAAAAGTCCAAAGAACGACCTTCCCCTTTCAGCTTTTCCATGGACACCTCTGAATCACCTCTGATTCTAGATCTACTTCCAGATCTAGCCTACATAATTACCCTGTCATCTGGGGGGATGGAGACCCTCTGGAGCAAACCTAGAGATGTACAACCAGTGTGTGTACAGAGCCTAAAGGGAGGGGCAGATGAAGTGCTTGTGTGCTTATGTTTTCAGGAGATCGTTCTTTCTGACTCCTCTACAGAGCTAAGGTTCAATAGCAGGCTTGACACCTACCTGGGGGCCTAAGCTCACCTCGATGCCCAGTGTCCAAAAGACATACAATGGACCTTGGTGAGAAGATATTAGCTGATTTGGCAGGAATGGCCACTCTGAGCCATTACTCCTCAACCTCACAAATACCCACCTTATGCTCAAAAGCTTAACTGTGCACACGCGTGCGCGCGCACACACACACACAATTCCTGCTGTTGCTTCAGTCACAAATAACACAGTAGTATTGATTTTATCAATCCTCAGCAAACAGTGCCCTCACCACCTCCACACCCTTTAGTTCCCAAGGGCCATCTGAAGCCAGGTACTCAGGACAGACAAGATGCAGCAGTACCAACCTAGCAAAGGAACCTGTTCTGTATTTCACAACCAGGCAGCATCAGGAAACAAAGGAGAAAAAGGACTGAGGACAAAGGAGGAGAGGGGGGTAGATGACTTGGGCAGCTTCCTAGAAGCAACCCTCCCTCATCTTACCACCAGGCTCTCAACTGGGTAAACCAGGGTCTTGCACGTCAGTTAAGGGAAGATACCCTGAAACCAAGTTGCTGGGTTTAAGTCCTGGTTGTGTGGCCCTGGGCAATTTACTTAACTTCTCTGTGCCTTTATTTCTTCAGCCATGAAACAGAAATAAGAACAGTACCTTCTTCATAGGATTGGTAAATGAATTCCTATTTCTACAGCACTTCAAACAGTAAATACTATGTATTCCCTTTAAAAGATATTTTTTCAAGACCCTCTTTAATGTCTTCCTGCCAGGTCAATAACATGTAGGCCAGCAATTAGAAGGGCTGTTAGAGTAGTGAGATTTGTCAAAGCCATGAAAGCTCAACAATAGCAGTTCGAGCAGGGGGCCTGACTTGTCCCCGCCCTGTTCCAGAGACCCAGGAGTCCCTGCTGCCCAGGAACAAGGGGTATGCTGAAAGACAAGGCCTAGTCCCTCAGATGCCAAGCCCTGCAGCAAATGAGCCCTCTGCATACTCACATGACTTTCAAGTCCCAGTCTCCACAGGTGACAAAAATTGACTTGACGTTTGGATCTAGGAGGCCTTCCTTTGCCATCCACTCATCGACCCTCTGGAAAGTATACAAGAACAGATAAGATTTTCCTTTTCTTCCCTGCATCTGTGAATAGCCCAACGGTGAACCGTAGCTAAGCTGCTTGTAATCAGAGCAGGAATGGTAATCTCAGCCAGTTGCTGCTGTGCTCTGGGCTCTCAGCCTTAGCTCAGATCTAGAGAGGTTCTTGGAGGATGCTCCCTTTGGGAAAATCCCATGTGTAGTGGGAAAAAGAGCACTCCTCCTACCCATGGTCTGGCAGTGTGCCCCAGACGCCAGCAGGGTAGGCCAAACATCTTTGTGTGACCTGGTCGTTCTTTCTCATCCAAGTCTTCAATCATTCCAAACTTCCAGCAAACGCTTACTAACTGCATTTACAAACCTGGTTATTCACCACGTGAAGGTAGAGATACTTTCCCTTTAGAGGAGTTTCACTGATAGGCTGGAGTCTCTGCTGGTTTTACTATTTGCACTCACAATGGAGTACAAACATGAAACTCAGTATATAACAAGAGAATTACCATAAAGAATTCATGAAGGACTGCCTATTTTTCAGAAGATCCCAGTCAGTGGGGAGGGAGTGTGGCCAATCATACCATGGCTTCTATCCACACAGAGGGATTATTTTTTAAGTCTCTATCACATAGTAGTTAAAAATACAGGATTGAAAGTCAGGCACATCTGGGTTCCGACCCTTGGCTCTTCCTTATCCTGGGTGCGTTGTTGAAGGGGAAGTCATTTAAAAGTCACTTAACACCTCTGAACCTCAGTTTCCTTCATCTGTAAAGCAGGGGAGGATGGCAATTCTTACAGAGTTACTCTGAGAATTAAATGTGATAACATGTCAAGTGCTTCTCCACAATAGACAGCAAGCTGAAAGGGGAGAAACGCAGACTGCAGTAAAGCAATACAACAGTGTGGGATGAAGAAGTGACTGGACTGCTGTAGGACCAAGAGGAAGGAGCGCTGCCGTAAGTACAGACACGTGAAATAACTGTGTGCTCAGTGTTGGTTAATGTCTGCCTTCCCTAGCAGACTGCAAGCATGAATGCAGGGGTTTTGCTTTGTTTACTGCCCTAATGCTGAACCCAGCACAGGGTCTATTAGGTATCAATTTGTTGTCAGGTATGATGGCGCACACCTGTAACCCCAACATTTGGGAGGCTAAGATATGAGGACCACAAGTTCGAGGACAGTCTGGGAGTCTATATGGGAGTTCAAAACCATCCTGAGCTATATAGCAGACCCTGCCTCAAACCAACAACTGAAGAAAAGACACCCAATGACTGAACACGTGAATATTTAGTGAGAGCCAAGTCCACAGTGAGAAAATGCTGGTGGTCTAGCTAGACTAGACTACAGCAGTAATGGAAAGCCCACCAAGCAGGGGTAGCTAGCTCCCCAGGTACTTCTAAGATAATGGAGGCCTGGCTAATAATAAGGCCAAAGATCCACTCTAGCTCCACAGCTACATCAGGCCAATATCCACAATGTCAGAGTTGCTCCCTGGTGCAGACCACGTGGTCTCTAAGCCTCACAGTATACATCTATGCCCAAGAATTTTTCTCAGCTTAGGAACCTCCCAAGTAGTATATCTAGGCATTCCACTGCTGAATGTTGTCTCCCTTGGCCCTCTGGCTCAATTCTTTATCCACATGTGCACACATGTGGCCTGGAAGACACTATGTAGACCAGGCTGACCTTGAACTCACAGAGATCCGCCTGCCTCTGCCTCCTGAGTGCTGGGATTAAAGGCGTGTGCCACCATGCCCAGCTCACCATCACATCTTTTACCTAAGGTCATCTAAAAAAACAAGTCAGATTTTACACAAGAAAAGAGGCAGGGTCATGCTAGGGCTCCCTAAATCTACATAACCCTGTTTCAGCTGGCTGGCTCTATCCTCAAGTATTTCACATGCTAAAGGGGATCCCCAACCCTCTAACTCACATTGGGAGAATGTACAGTGGGAAAAGTTTGCAGGACAGAGTTAGACTGTCAGAAGGACACACCCAGCATGATCATGCCTTTGAACAGAGAGGCACTGAACACTCCATTCTATGGTAGATACTCAGTGGGCATCTTTTACTGTGAGCCTGTCCAGGAAATCAGGCCTACTCCCTGCCCTAACCCGCTCTGCCTAAATGAAGAGAGGCTTAGAGGAACCACAAGACAACCCCAGTCTGCTGTGCCAGTCCTTCCTGTTACTGGCAGTATAGTGAACCTAGCCTGAGCTCTACTCAGAATAAATGAGTCAGGCAAGATTCTTGCCAACTGCTTGCTCTGGACCTTGGCTAGAACAAGATATTTGCTCTTTAGCTCTATAACCAACTCAGGACTAATGGGCCTAGTATGATGTCCTTGTGCTCCCAGAAACTCTCTACTTAGGTAGATGCCAGTAATTTTCCCTTCTCACCCACAAAGTATCAGAAGTGGATGACACTCAGACTGTCCTAAGCCCTGCTGGCTTGGGCTTGGCAGGAAGGTGCCTTCTGAAGGCCCCATCTTCCCTCAACTGGGGCCATTACTTTAATGGCTTTGGTTTGGTGCTGACCCAGAACAAACATTCTGCTAGGACCCCAGCCACAGACATTTCCTGGGAAAAGCTGCCAGTTCTCTGTCCTCCCTTGAGGCCAGGCTCTGGCTGGGGATGCTGCTGGCAAAGAGCTGTGCCCAGGGAGCTCCCTCAGTCCTGCAGGGGACCTCCCCGAAAAGTGGAGCAGGAGGCAACCAGAAGTCACCTTATCTCCTGCCATCAACTGCACCCTGACCCGACTGAGCCGACGTGCCTGGACCTCTATACTGCAGGGACAGAGGGTACTCACTACCACAGAGGTATGCCTAAGCCTGGCTCTCAGACTTATCCTATCCCGATGGGCCCAGGAGAGGCCCAGCATGTTAGGGCCACATCTCTCACTCTATCTCCTGGAAGCATTCCTGGCTAAAGGGAGTTGTCTCATCTCCAAGCTACAACCCACTTCCTTGAGGATGTCACCTCCCATGCAGAGGTGCCTTGCTATTCCTCCTGTGTACGGATAAGGTCCAAGCTTTGGATTTTCGGGTCTTAAAAACAAATAAACACCTAATGAAATCCATAAGCTTGTTCTGTCTGCCCTCTTCTACAGAGCAGGACTGAAAGGAGATGCTGTTCGCCCCAGAAAACCCTGAGGCTGCAGGGGTGGGAAAAGGGCTGAGGCAACCACAGCTTCTTCCTTATTCCCATGGGCCACAGCACAGGAAGCACCGTCTTAACCTTTTCCAGCTCCCTGAGGAGAACATTCGAGAAGTGTGGTCTCTGCCAAGGGTTCTAAAGTCTTTAATTTGATTTCCCTCACATAGACAATTGTAATTATTCTGATTAGGAATCATTACCAGCGCAGCCTCCGCACCCGACAGGCACAAGGCATCCTATGGCAAGCTGCAGTGGGGCAGGCAGCCTGCCGCTGCCCCTGGAGGAGCTGACAGCAAACAAAAGCCATCGATGGGGAGTTCTGGGTGAGTTAATGAAGTGCTCACATGCCAAGAGAAGCCAACATCAAAGCTAAACAAAAATACCTCTAGTCCCTGGGGCTAATCTTGCAAGGCTCACAGTTCCCCTGCCCCAGCCCACCCAGCACAGGCCTCAGCCGCCAGCCCAGAGCCACAGGCCAGGCGAGGTGGGGGTGGTGGCTCTCGGACATCTTGTCAGTAACCCTGATGGGAACAGCTGGAGATGACAGATCAATGGTTCAATACTCTCAACAGCATGTCACTGATGTGACAGCAAATGTTATTCTAATCAAGCCATAATCATAGTCAAATTATACATCTACATTCTCAGGAGGGGAGGGAGAGAAAGGCTGCAGGAAAGGGTCAGGGGTCGGAAATTAAAGGTCATTCAACCTACCTCCAGCACTTGCTGCAGGCTTGGCTGGCCATCCACCATGGCTTGAATAATCCCGGTGAGCTGAAAGCAAAGAAAAACAGCCTTTGGGTGGGAAACCCAGGTGCATGGACTCATGCTGGACCAGTCCTTTTCTTCTCTCATCCTCCTCCTCCTGTTAAGGTTGTGGCATGGCTGCTTCAAGCTCACAGCTAGGCTAGGAGCCTTGGGAATAATGTCCCAGGATGCTGAGTGAGCATCTCCCACTGATACCACTCAAGCCTGGCCTGAATGCACGTTAACCACAGGGTGGGTTCCATACTTGTTTCAGCTTTAAATTGAGAGAAAACTTTTTTTTTTTTTTTTTTTAATTTCACATGTCTCTTGTATTCAACAGGCCCAGTAAGTTCCTACAAATTAGTCTAAGGCACATTTGACTCTAGCGTCACAGAAGTTCCTGTGGAGCCTGATGAGTGCCTGTTCCAGCCAGGCACATTTGGTTCCAAGTCTCCCCTCCTGAACCTTGTATACATCCAGCACTTGTCCCACCACACTCTCCACAGCCCCGGGGAAGCCCCATGGGCACCTGCATACCTCAGCCCTCAATACCACCTAGCCAAGCTACCTGTGAGCAATGGGGAAACCAGGAGGAAATGTAGTAATATACAGAATCTGACCCTGGGACCAACTCTCCGGCCTAGGAATACCTTCAAGCAGGCTTGTTGTACTGCTTTGTTTAGTTTCGAAGTAAAAACATCCCTTAAGCACAGAGTAGGCACAGATCTCCTACCAGTATCTGAGGCATGAGGCCCTGTCCTGGACACAAGCTAGAAGTCATCATGTGTCCCCGGCTGTTCCCAGAGTAGCATATCAAGTTTGCTTGGAAACAACTTTTTTATTGAAGTGGGGGGAAGGGGCTTAAAACTCCAATTAAACTATAATTACATTTAATGAATACCAAATACCCAAGTTACAGAAAGTGCAGCTCTAAGAGGGAAGGTTATTTTCTCACAGCGACTTACATGGAATGGTAATACACACCTTTTAGGGAAGAAATTTTCATTTTAAGAACGCTGAGTTCCTCTAGGTGGGTTTCTGTAGTTCATCAAGTCATTATTAGGTGGTATTTTAAGGAAGTGTAAGGACACAGCCACTCTATTTTATATTCCAGAAACTGTTTTTATATTAATCTGTATTTTAATTGGGTAACAGCTGCTGCCTACAGACTTCCCATGGTCTAAAAGGAAAATAAATTAGAAAGATTAACTACACTGTTGTTTCGCAAGGCTTTAACCCACAGCATGCCCACCCGGCTGGCACCTCCACACCCTTTCCTTGCTTGGGAGACCAAAAAACTGCCCAGCAGAGGGAGGGCCTGAGTCAAAGACAAAAAAAAAAAAGACTAGCTGCTGACAGGGAGGGAGAGCGGAAGGGTGGCTGGAGGCTTTCTTGGAGAGCAGAGTGCTCACTCGCTCTCCTAGCAGTGGAGCACAGGGCCCAGGAAAGCAGGGACCCTGCAGGAACATCAAAGTCTTGCCTTCATCTAAGCAATCTGCCTTCCTCTAAGCAGTACCTGCCCTATGCCCACTCCAGAGCCAGAGCCTGTTCGTGTACACAGCCACGCCCAGAGAAGCCAGGCAGCCACCCTATATTTTCTCTCAAGTACACAGGGACCAAAGAGGCAGGAACAAGATTGTTCCCAACTCCGGCAGCGTCCAGCTTCTAGATGACTGATGGACACCCAGGCACTACAGCTGCACAGTATGGCCGAGTTTCCCTGCTAAGTTCTTTCAGGGTGGAGAGCTAGGCAAGGGTCAAGGCTATGGTGGAAAAGGCCTATAGTCACACAAAACTCCAGGGTCCAAATGTCAGTCTACATCTAGTATGAGTTCCCGGGACAAGGTCAGGCCCACTTCTCTTGGCTCCAACCAAGGGTAAATTAGATGAGCTGAACACTAAAGGGCTTTTGAAAAGTCTTACATGTACAGCCAAAGGCACAGAGCCAAGAACCTTCTCTTGTCTCAGATAGGACTTAGGTAAGCATCCATGTATCCCATAAGAATCTGCCCTGCCCCTGGGAAAATCAGATGTGGGTAAGACACTTACTATACTATATAGCTTATGTGCCTAGCACGTACAAGGCCCTGGGTTTGATTCTCAGCACCAAAGGCAGAGAGGTAAACTAGACACAACCTTCTAAGGGAAGCCTCCTACTCCTTGTGGGGCTGAGGGAGTTCTTAGAGGGATAGATAGATCCCTCCAAAAATGAGCTACCAGTTCTGCCAATGTACTGGGTCAAGAGGAGTAAAACTGAGAAAAGTCCTGTACTTGATACTAACAACCTATACGTGGTGAGGGAAAGAAACACTCATACAATTAGTACTGGGAAGTTCTATCTTAGGCCTAATTTAAATACTTTGTGCTTCAGTTTTAAACTCATTCCCACTTGCATTAATACAAGTTTGTTAAAAGCATTCATATCCTCACAATGAAAGGTACTAGAGCAAAGCCAAGTGTTATTAAGCTGAGAACCAGGGCTCACAGGCTAAACAGGGCTCAGAGACCTTAACCACTTAAAGCAGGAGAGGTGAGAGGAAGAATTAATATGTGCTCTCCAGCTCCTTTCACTGAGGGATTACAGATTAACTCCCACTTCTCCAGATGGGGAGGCAGGGGTTGACCCTGACTGATAACATGGCTGGTTCCTGATGTCCACGGATGAGCTGGTTTCATGGTAAACACTAGCAACTTCAGGAAGCGGCCCAGGAAGCTCAGTGCCAAAGGCATGTCAGCAGCCAGCACTTTCTCCCTTCACAGTTTATCTCCAACACAATTGTATTCTGATACCAAGACAGTTTGTTGATTACATAACACTTGTCTCTGGTGTGCAATCTGATAATCAGACCCACTCTTTCTCCTCACACAAAGAGACCAATAAATCTCACTGTTTATAAGGACAGGTGCAAGACAAAGAAAGCCCTTTACTAGCATTTAGCAAAATGGGTATTTCTCTAGTTTTTTCATGACAACAACAACAAAAGACTACACATGGTCAGGGGCTATGTAACAGCCCAGATGCTGGAGAGCAAGCTCAAGAGCTGGGGCAGATTCTAGAGAGAACAGAGCAGTCTCCCCTCTCTGCTGGAGTCATGCTCAGGACAACCAACAGTCAATGAACTGAGGAAGCACCCTACGGGGCTAAGAGAGTCCTTACAGGCTATGGGGCTAAAGACCTGTTCAGGGAGAAGTCTTCTCCCCATGGTCCAGCACTCAGCCTGTCTCTCCCTATACAAGCATGTGCTCATGTATTTATTTGTGTGCAATATACTCACACGTGGAGTAGGGAAGGCAGGGGTTGGGGAGGGATGTTGTTTTTGTTTTTTGAGACAAGGTCTCATTCCATAGCCCACCCAGGGCTTGGTACCATAATGCCATAGCCTTGAACTCACTATGTTAGCCCAGACTAACTCCAATCATTCTGCTTCAGCCTCCCAGGTACAAGGATACTTAGCTCTTTGTTTGAGACAGGGTTTCATGTAATTCAGACAGGTATTGAACTCCTGATCCTCCTGTCTTTGCCTCAGAAGTACTGAGATTACAGGCACATGCCAGTGAACCTAGCCACACTAGGGATTTTAAGAACTTCTTGTGCATTTGAGAGAAAATCTGCCAGAGAAACTGCTTAGGTCCAATCTGGAGGTTTGGGACCATTGTTCACACTCACACTTACTAATGAGAGATTCTCTGGGTGGGTTAACTGCACCCCTATCCCAAAGGTAGCTACTGTCAGGGAAGGTGAGGCCATCCTGTGTCTGTGCTTCTCTCAGGGATCCAGTTCCAGATGGTATGGAGTCAGGACAACAGTGAGGTAATGTGAGGTTTTCCAAAGAGACTCTATTTATTCAAAAGGGCCAAGTCAAGGGCTGGTGAGATGGCTCAGCAGGTAAGGGCACTTGCTGTCAAGCCTGATGACCTGAGTTCAAGCCCTGGAATCCACATAGTGGAAGGACCTGATTCCCACAAGCTGTCTTCTGACTGTACATGCACCATGGCATGCGTGCCCTTTTCCACAAACAAATAAATGGATTTTTTTTTTCAACAGTATAGTGGCTTTAGGGGACACACAAATAACTCCTTGGCAACAGACCATCATTTATGGAGTGTACACAGTACTAGACCTAAATGATGGGGTAGAGATAGGTCAGATTTAGTTCTGCCCTTAAGGAACTAATATTCAAAAGGAGAGAGATTAAATAATCCAAGTATTATCTATCTCATCAATGCAATGTTGGGGTAAGCACAATTCAGGCTGGGTATCAGAAAAGGTGACCTTGAGTAGTTCTGAAATATAACAAGGAATAGGATTAGTGTACCAAACAGTGGGATTGTGGGGCAAGGTGGGAGATGGGGCAGGAACTAGGAGCATGGAGAGCATTGGGTTCTTAACCCAATGCCTACAACACAACCAGATCTTCACCCTCAGAACAGGCTGCACCACTAGGATCCCAACACTACTCTACTGCCCTCCAATTACAGATGCCCTTGAGTGAAACTGTCTAGAAGAAGAACATAGTCCTCATTATCTTATAAAGCAGCCATAGCAGCCCTGTGTTGGAAGATGCTCTTAGGGCGCCTCCTGTTCCGATGTTCTAGAGCAAGCACCCTCGCCTAAAGCTGGCTCTGGCAGCATTCTGTACCATTCTTGAACAAGCAGCAACCACTCCAAAACCCAGACCTGCTGCTCTGTGCCAGGCAGCCTGACCTCGCAGAGTGTGAAGAGAAGGAAAAGTGTTTAGGCCATGCCAGCCTAAACAGCCCCATCTCGCAGATGCTAAACTACTCAGGTTGATCTGGTTAGTACCTGGAAGGTAATAGGATATGATTTTCAGGCCATCGGGGGACTCAGGTAGCTGGCTGGTGTAGCCTTCTATTGTCAAAATGAACTTTCTGAAAGGGGCCACAAAACAAATTGGTCCCCCCCTCTGGTGGAATAGGTAATTTCCAAGGGAAAAAGAGGAAATGGTGGGGGGAGGTGAAAACCACTAGCTAGAACAAAAGGCTTAGGAAACTGGACACCTGGGTGGATGGATGCCGACCACCAAAGGCCCATCTGGGCTGGATGGCAAACACTGGCTACTAGTCCAGGAGCAACCCTGGAGACCTCACATCTGGGCTAAGTCAAACTGAGGCCCACTAAGCTGCCCATTGCATCAGGCAGGCCCTTCCCCAGCGTCTTCCATACCAAAGAGATGTTTAGGAATCCTTAAGAATTTCTCTTCCCCTATTTCACGCACATGTAGAAGGTCAGTCTCTAAATGAAGGCAGAGGCTCCAATATACCTTAGCTCCAAATTCAAGTTTTCCTTTCACCTCTGCTACCACATAGGCCTGAAAGGTGATTCCGCCAAAGACTGGATGGTGTGGCAAATCATGGGGGAAAGCAACCACAGAAGGCTTCTCCACACTGTCCCAGGAGTCAACACTCTCAGGGGTTCTTCCCTTCTGCTGATAGTGCTGCTAGGCCTCAAAATCTCAGTGAGCCCCAGTTCTGTAGTCTATAAAATGATGTAAGTATTAACATACAGACAAGGTGGCCAACTACAATTCTAACCTAGGGAAAGACACTTCAGCCTTGGCCAACCTGTCTTCTTTGTCCTTGGTGGCAGAGTCACACTTTGGGACTTCTTTACAGAAGGGCAGAGCAACCTTGCCAGGAAGCTAAGAAAGCCTGAATGTAACATTTCCTTCTAAGCCACTGAAATCTTCACCTCTTGCCCTACAGGAAATAGAACTGGAAAGAATTTGAGTCCCAGAAACTCCATGCTGCTCCTAGACTGACTCCAAGTATCTAGTTGCCAGGATAGGTGAGAACAAGGAGGGAGGGAGAATGTTGAGAAAGCTGAGGCAAACTGTACCAAACTGTTCCTGGTCCTCAGTGATGAGAGGAGTCACCAGTCACTCTGGGCTCAGAGAGCGCTTGTCTTAACCACTGACCACCTAGCTTTCCCTAAGCAGCCTGCATGAACCAACAATCCCAAAGCTCCTCTCCCAGCGGCCCTTACCTCTGTACAGAAGGGGGTAAGTTGTGGGTGGACTACAGGCTGGACATACATGTGAAAGGTAGACTCAATCTCCATGGTTCGGCCATTTAGCTTCAGGATGGGGAACTCAATGATTTCCTAGAATGCCAAAGACACAGAAGAGAAAGTAAGTTAATTGATCAATCATTTCAAATAACTCTTCTAAGTCAAGAAAAAATGAGTGCTGTGGCTCATTCCTCCTGCCAGTCCAAACCCAAGACTGGAAGAGGTGATACCAACACAGCCATAATCTATCCCTCAGACAATGAACAGCCTCCTCATCGTTTCTACGAAGAAGGAAGACAGTAGTACAATCTGTCTGCCTGTTTCCCTGACAGTTTTCTGGCAGAAGCCCATTCACTTGAGCCCTAAGAGAAAGGCCTTCCTATTCTTGCCCAGGCCACTGTCCTGGAAAGGGTCTGGATCTCCAGACAGAGACAAGCAACCATCAGAGCTATGTATCAATCTCCTCCTGTGAAGTTTAAAAATTGTCAGTGAGATCCTTCATTAGTTCTGAAAGGGAAAAAAAAAAAAAAAAAAAAAAAAAAAAAAAAAAAATAAAAAAAAAAAAACCCAAAGGGGAAACCAAAGAGGGGGAAAAAGAGAAAAAAAGTTAAAGCCAAAGGGGATACCAAAGAGAGGAGAAAAGAGAACACAAGTTAATAGGCACCAGTGTCTCCCACCTTTCCTTCAGGCACTACAAACTCCCCCCACCTCCCCCTCCCCGCCCAATCGCTTAGCCAGCCCTTCCCAGTCCACTGGAACGTAATAGAGGAGAAGGAGGAGGAGTGACAATTTGTTTGGTGTCTCTAAGATTAATTTGTCTCCGTTATTTAATAGAGATGCACAGCACCAAGGTCCTGGTGTGCAAACAGGCTTGCAGAGCACTGGCTGTGCAGCATGCTTCATACATCGCTCCTGGAAGGGAGGGACGCACCAGACTGGGGGGGGGGGCAGGAGAGAGCACACGCATCAGAGAGAAGAGGGAAACCAAGAGAGAATAAAAAAATATATTGCTTTTTAATATTCAAAAACAGTTTGCAAAATTTAATCAAAGCAGAGGAAAAGCTAACATTTTTACCACTTTGACATTTTTATTAGCGCTTTCATAAATTTTTAAAACATGAATGGAATTAGTTTACAACACATACACAAAAAAAGCTGCCCTGAAAACATCTGGAAGAGACAAATAGGAAATAATAAAAAAAATAAATAAAAGCAAAATCTTCCAAGTAAAATTAGCATGTGAAAAAAGCCTCTACTGCAGAGAAAGAGAGCTTTGGCCACACAGGACCCTCAGTCCCAGTGGCATACCTATTCCAGAACCCCCATTCTACACAGCACCCTTCCAGGACCACCAAAACCAAGGCAAACTGGTCCTCTGCAGAGACAGCCTGATGAAGCAACACAGTGCTGACCACCCCTGAACACAATCAGGGAATGAGTGGGTAGGAAAACAGGGTAATTGTCTTCTTGTCCCAAGGAAGACAATGTTCTCCCTGCAAAACACACCATTAATACTGGATTGGTTTTTTTGGGGTTTTTTGTTTTGTTTTGTTTTTTTTCCATCTTTTTGAGACAGGGTCTCCCTGTAGCCCCAGCTGTCCTGGAACTCACTATGTAGACCAGGCTGGCCTCGAATTCAAAAATACCTTCCTGCCTCTGCCTCCTGAGCAAAGGTGTACGCACCATGCCTGGCTGGACTGTTTTTTAAAAACATCTATTTCAATCCAATGCAGAATAGAAGGACTGAAAATCAAAACCAAATCAAGGCAGTTAGAATTCCTACAGAGAAATTCAAAGGCACTGGTTGCCTGTTGCCTGTAGTTGATTCCTAAAGATGGAAAGCTGATCGAAGCTTGCCTAGTCCCCCTGTGCTGATTCCCCAAAGATGTGGAAGCTGATGGGCACTTACTACCAGACACAGGAAGGGTAAAACAGCTACGGGGGGGCTGTGGCAAAAGGGCAAGAGGGCCCAGGCTGCTGCTTAGGCTAGGTAACACATCTTTCCTCTCTCCTCCTCTCTCCTCCTCTCTCTCTCCTCTCTCTGTCGCCCCCTCCAAAGGGAGAAGAGGATACTCAAATTCTCCAATTGGCTAGGCCTTTTGTTCCCCAATAAAGCACTACAAAGCAGGCCAAACAGAGGCGAGTTTAACCTTGTTAAAATAAGGTTTAAAAACAAAAAAACAAAAAAAAAAACAAAAAAAAACCCACAAGGTTGAGCACAGGCATATAAACATACACACTGGTCTTCCTGAAAAATTACATATAAAAGGTTCCCAGGAGTTGACTCTGATCTGTGAGTCAGGCTCTTCTAACTCCTGAATTTGTAATAAACCCTTCCTCTCCCACTAAGTAGGAGAAATACTTCCCCCAATATAAAGAACTGCAGAACCTGGTGAGTTTGGCTGCCCTAACATCTAAGTAAACAAATACAGCCAGCTCCTCACTAACAATGTTAGTGGGGCCTGCAATGAAATTTAACCCGTGACACAACTGTACTTTTCATTTAAACTTTCATTTGGAGAGAAGCAGTGTTTGGAGACCTGCAGTTTGTCCTGCTAATAAAGACAAGTGTTGGGACCTTTAAGGATGCCATTCATCTTTGGCTTTTATTAAATTCAATTTTCTTAAGCCCATGATACATTATGAAATTAGGAGTTGACATTCCTCTGGAAACAAAAATATCTATCAAACATAAATAGGGGGAAAAAACCTCTATTACCAAGAATTTATGGCTTAAAGTTGATCTCTTTCCACTTTTTTACAAGCACATGGTTTGTTTTAGATATCTGAAATGCTATTACAGATCTGGAATTTCATTAGTATTTATTATTAAGAAGTATGTGCTTAAGCTCTTGCTATAACCAGAACCGAATCAGCTTCCCCAGCACTCTGAAAACTTGGCCTTGGGTCTCCCACTGCAGCTCAGCATTCAAATCTGCTGCTGCTGGCATCTTCACCCACAGGGACATGGCGCTAAGTGCTCAAATTCAATAGTGTCTCCTGATACCAGTTCTCAGCTCCATGGGGAAAAAATGAAACCCCTGAGATGCCTAGACCCAAGGCCCAGGACACATCAGATTTGGCTCACCACAAACTTCTCTGAGCTTGGCAGCCAGGAGTAGGCAGCCAGGCCTACTCCTCATGAACAAGAGGGACTTAGAAGAGCCAGAGATACAACATGGCAACCCAGAGTCATTCCTCAGAAGCCTCAGGAGCTATAACAGTAAGTCTGCACATGACCTATTCTTTTGAGCCACTGAGTATACAAACAAAAGAGGAGCTTCTGATAGAAAACCCTCTCAGGAATCTTTTAAAAAGGGGGCAGGGGGTAGCAAGAAACAAAACCTGCAAAGATTTTGGGGTGGGATTTTTTTGGATTTAATTTTTTTAATTTGTTTTTTTTTTACAAAAAAAGAGAGAGAGAGGGACTCAGCAGTTTAAAAGTCTGAACTGCTCTTGCGGAGGCCAGAGTTCAGTTCTCAGCACCCACATTAGGTGGCTCACAACCACCTGTAACTACGGTTTCAGAGGATTTGAAGCCTCTGGCCTCTGAGGGCACCTGATTCACATACACACACAAACACACTCACATACATGTTTTAAAATTAAAACTAGGGCCTGGAGAAATGGTTCAGCAGTTAAGAGCACTGGCTGCTTTTGCAGAGGACCTGAGTTCAGTTCCCAGTATACACATGCAGGCTAACGACTGACTGTCCACAATTTCAGGCCTCTGTGGGTACTGCATGCACACAGAACACATACACAGGCAAAACACATAAAATACAAATAAAATTTTTAAAAATTAGTTTTTATTCTCTGTCCCCCAAGTCCATTTTCAAAAAAGAAAAAAAAATTAGTTTTTAAAACTGAAATAAAATCTGAAAAAAAAATGTTTTTTAAAGAAGCCCCTCAGCCAGGCGTGGTGGCACACGCCTTTAATCCCAGCAGAGGCAGATGCAGGCAGATCTCTGTGATTTCAAGGCCAGCCTGGTCTACATAGTGAGTTCCAGGCTGGGGCTACAGGAAGACCCTGTCTCAAAAAGACCAAAGCAAGCAATCAATCAATCAAAATAAAGAAGCCCCTCTCAGAGTTCAGAGCAGAAAGGACCTCACTTAGACACTTCTTACCTTCCCATACTGTTCAGCAAACCCACGCCTCACAGTCCTGGCCCCAACAGTCCAATCATAGAGAGAAGTCCTTCGCTGCCCCAAGTTAGAACAGCTATGTGGTATCCTTGGCTGTTTTTAACTGATAATGGTCAAAAATGCCACTCTGCTACCACAGGTAGATGGATAGTATCAATTCCAACCCAAGGATCTATGAAGATGTGCCAAATGCCAGCTTCTGGCTCCAGATGCTCAAATCACCAAACTACCCCTGCAGTTCTTCCACTACCCTCACCCAATTTCATTATTCCCCCAGGAAGAAGTGGGGGTTTGGTTTTGTTGCTTTCTTTCAGGAACAACTGAATGCTTCCTCTCCTAGAGGAGGACCCAGTTTGTGTTAAGGGGCCCTCCTGTAGTCCCTAAGAATTCCTTTATCTTCTCATGCCATTCATATTCAATTAAACTACTTGAACACCTACTGTGTTAAGAGTGGGATATAGAGATAAGTAGTCTGTGATCATGAGCAAACAATGGACAGTGAAGAGACATACCAAGTATTACGATTTTGTCTTTTGCCATACATTTTCTTATTTTATGTTTACTAATCCTGGGAGAAAGGTCATGTCATGCCACCATCATCAGATCAGAACTATTTGTCAGGCAGTACCCAAGCACAGGCATAGCAGTAAGATGTGGCATCTCTCTCTGACACGCTGGTTCTGGGCAAAGTCTTTGCCATGTGAAAAATGGAATCATACATTCCCTCCACTTCTTGTTTACTCTGTGGCAGACACTGTGCTAAGTGCTAACAGGAATGATTTCAATCCTCCAAACAACTCATTAGGAGGGAATCATTACTGTTCCTATTTCACAATATAAAAATTGTAAGGTCACATGCTTACAACTATACTGCTAGTAAGGGCTGGAGCTGGAACTGCAGATGGGAGAAAAAGAGACTTACAGAAAGTAGGACTAGCAGCTTTCAG